CAACCCGCCCCCAGCCGCTCCATCTGGGTGGGTTTTCCCAACCCGCCCCCAGCCGCTCCGTCTTGGTGGATTTGCCCAACCCGCCCCCAGCCGCTCCATCTTGGTGGATTTGCCCAACCCGCCCCCAGCCGCTCCATCTTGGTGGGTTTGCCCAACCCGCCCCAGCCGCTCAGTCTTGGTGGGTTTGCCCAACCCGCCCTGAGCCGCTGCTGCCTGGTTTCCCCTCCCACTCCCAGCCGCTGTGGCTGGGTTTCCCCTCCCGCCTCCTGCCTCTGCAGCCTTGGCTCCTTTACTGTGTCCTCGGCCTCTACTTTGCTCCCTTCTATAGCCCTTGGCTTCCATGTTGTCTTCAGTCTTCGCTCAGAGCCGGTATATGCAAATTAACCGCCATCTTGGCTGACAGTTAATTTGCATATACTCACTGATTAGCCAATGAAAAGGGTAGCGGTTGTACGCCAATTACCATGTTTCTCTTTTATTAGTGTAGATAATCCAACTTTGTGACTTTTCTTAATGCCAAACCTCTAAAGAAAGGTAGCTTTTTTCTTTATAAAGCAAATAAAAGTTTAAAAAAACAAGTCTGAGACAAGTTTTCAGTCTTTTTTTCTGAGAAACCATTTAAATACCAGCGTGCATAGTGTGTGCAGATGCAAAAAGCAAGTGCAAACTGCTTTTATGGAAACAGTACAGCCATTGACCCAGGGAAGTGCTTGACTATTCACTTGACCATTTACTTGAAACAGAACCTACAGGATTGATTTATTCATCTCATAGCTCTTGAGGGCCAAGTGCTCAGAATAGCCAATAGGTATAGTTGGATAAGAATAACTCTGATACCTTCACATTGTATTTCCGGAAATTTTGTCTTGTCATTAAGTATTCTTCTAAATTAGTGTATGTTTCTGGACCTTGTTACAGTCTTAAAAATTATTGAGTACCCCAAAGAGGTTTTGTTTATGTTATTCCTATTGATATTAACCATATTAGAAATTAAAATGGAGAAATTTAAAATAAAAAATAAATACAATTTAAAAGTAAAGAAGAACTCCGATAAATATAATGTTTGAAAGTGAAAAGCAGGGCTGAGACTAAAGTGAGGCAAGCAGGGCAAATAGGGCCCCAGAGAGAGGAGATGTCCAGTCTCAGAGGTGTGCACAATGTAGAGTTGGCACCTGACAGCTTGCCTTCCCTTACTCCAAGCATGTCAAACTCACGGCCCGCAGGCTGCATGCGGCCCACAACGGATATTTTTGTGGCCAGCCAATATAACAGTATGTAAGAAACGTTTTAATAAAAATGTCTAACTTAATTTTTACAATATCCTGTTATACATAATTATTAATAACGAACTACAATGTTCACCAATGACTGATTACTGTAATCGT